AGAAGGACCACAGACGTAACTGAATACACATCAAAACTGTATTTTTGAGGGTTACATGTGAGAATATTGTTGCTAGTTTGTTTGGCAGGGAACCGTTAATGATAACTATACAGGCCAGGCATAAATAGAAGCACGGCTTCAGTCTGAGCCTGTTCAGTCATTATTTGTAAAATAGGCATGGATCTTATATGAATTGTTTGGGGGTTTTTTTAGTCTGTATAATATGTGAGTACTGAATGAATAAATAAATATCAAAATGATCTCCAGGGCCTCGCATGTGTTGAATCAGTACGGATTTATAAAGCGCTTTTCAAGGCACTATTCATTCACTCTCACATTCACACACACTGGTTGAAGCAAGCTACAGTTGTAGCCACAGCTGCCCTGGGGCTGACAGACTGGCATCTAAAGCCACATCTTTAGATAGTAATACTGAGGAGTTAACCTGACAGATAAAAGTGACGTTAACCTGAAACTCATCCACAATATGTTGCACTCAAATCTTCATATATGCCTTCATATAACTAATATTTACTTGGCTTAATGTCCGTGTGTCTGCTGAGTGCTGTCAGAAAGCTAAACGAAAGTTTTTACAGCTCTCAGTAAATAATATTCTGTAATTTTTGATTCGCTTTCAGATAAATCAGAGTGGGTTACAGAGGAGCTTTGTGGACCAAGACGTATCTATCAGGAAAAATAAAGCAGAGCTGAAGAAGATTAATGATCTAGATCAGATGTGGAGGACGATGAGCTGCTCACAGACTTATTATAGTTTATTTTTTATTTAATAAATCTTTATATTCAGTAATTTCTTAAGTGCTTATCCACTTCAGGCTGATTATGCCTCGGACAGGTAGGCAAACAACCATTCACGCTCACGTTCACACCTACGGCCAACATAGAATCACCAGTTAACCCTAAAGCTCGAGTGCCCAGAGAAAACAAACACACGGCCTACAAACATCACAGTTTGCCACAGAAAGGCCAGTCCAGTGGATTCAAACACCAGACCTGGGCTTGCTGTGAGGCGACAGCGTCAACCACTGAACCATCGTGTCACCTGAGAAAATTTGATCTCAAACTTCGACAGTAACTGCTGACAAAATACAAAAATATCACCTCATCTATATTCAGCTGATTCCAACCCAGATACTTTTAACCAGAAATACGAGTGTTTAATATTTAACATGTGAATCAGGAACAACACGACAGCACGATTAGATTGCAGTGAATGATGGTCTTTAGACTTTGTTAGTTTATCAAAAGGTCACTGAGGTCACAGTGTATGACTAACTTATAATCTGTGCCTCTCATCTGTTGAAATGTACTCTCAGAGACAAGATGATTTTGGAAATGAATATTTCACAGTTTCATGTTGACAATTTAAATGTACAAGAATTATCCAGTGAGGAAATAAATAAACCCATTTTTCTTATTTGTAATAACAATAATAATCTGCTGATTCACTCACCCACCCATTAAAGACATTTTATTTGTTAATTCATTTCATTTTCCCCATAGTTTTTTTTATTTAAACTAATTTTACAGAAAAACTCATTTTAATCTACAGTGGACTAAAGTTATGTTTTCATTTAAAGTCGGGAGAACTTTAAGGTTTAGATTCAAACTTTTAAGGTTTAAATTAACAGAAGGATAACTATTATACTAATCAAACGTATTATTATTATTATAAGATTATTTAAAAAGGTAAATGTTAATAATTTTCATCATGTAAAATCAAACCTTATCAACTTTTAAATAACTCATTTTACTGTATTAAAGATAAAAGTAGAATAATTGGTTTGATTTATTTGAATAAACCAGCAGATCATTTAAACAAAATTTAAATGTTTTAATGCATAAACCCGATTTTTAAAATGTTTATTCTGAGTGTTAAGTGTGAAATATAAAGAGTCTCCACCAACCTCCCGGCTCCATGAAGGCCCTGATGCCCAAGAAGTTGTGCCAGCTCCGGGGCAGGCCGATGTGTCCCGCGGTGCCGCTGCCGGTTCTGGTCCCGGAGGGGGCCCCGGGCCCGCTGTAGGACGGGTACGGGTAAACAGGGCCGTACTGCAGCGGGGCCTTGATGCCGTCGCACGGTCGCGGCTGAGAAAGAGTCCCGATTTTATTCCTGAGGATGCGGCTGATGGAGCTGACGGAGGGCACGTTGTACTTATCGCACACCCCGTCGGACAGCAGCCGGTCCCGGATCTCCCAGGCGAAGATGCCCGGGTCCCCCTGCTTGTAGTCCCGGATGCTCTTCACCACGGCGGGGGTGGTGACCCGAGGCTTGCTGCCGCCGATGGCCCCCGGCAGAATGGAGCCGGTCTCGTTGTAGCGAGCAAGGATCTTGGAAACGCAGCCGTGGGAGACCCGCAGCTGGCGGCTGATGTCGC